AAATTGTCCCCATATTACAAATAAATCAAAATGCGTGAAAAAAAATGAAATAACAAGCTAACAACTAAACAAAAGACTACACAATGATCTTGTCATAGCAGGACAGATAAATGGAAAACATCCGATGCTTAGAAAATAAAAAGCCCTATGCGATCGATGATAATCACCCGTTGTATGAGGGCGAACGTCGAAATGTTGTTTGTATCGATCACTTTTAAAACCTTTAGGAGAAATCCAGCAATAACTACACTATACCTTGTTTATCATACTCTTAATTAGTAAACCAAAGAGAATATAGTATACCTACCGGTATATGAAGGTGGCACATAAAAATAGCATAATTTCCTACTTTAAGTTTTCTTAGATTAGTTTTGGTTGGCTTTTGACTATCTTATTAGTATTAGTATTGACTGGGGTAATAATGTGGAAAAGCGTTCTGAGACTTAGTTGTATAAAGCGCTATATAGAAACCTACATATTATTACTAATTATTATTAATATTATTATTATTATTATTATTATTATTATTATTATTATTATTTAGTTTTATTCTGTAAAATACAGTTATGTTTAATAACAATGATTCTTTATAATTGGCTTAGGCCTAAGTTCTTAGACACATTGGTCAATAACATTGATTATAAACAAGTACAGAAAAGAAGCCCAAAAGATAAATAAAATAAACTACGTGAAAAAAAGCAAAGACTACGCAATAATCTGCAGAGATATAAAAGATTCGATGCTTGGAAAATAAAATACGCCCACTGTATGTCGATGATGATCACATGTCGTATGATGGCGAACGTCGAAACTGTGTTCATATCAGACACTTGGTATAACCTTTAATAGAATTGCAATATTATTTTTTGGTTGCGTTTTGACGTTAAAATATCATTTGCAATAAATGTGTCACATCCAGTTATTTGTATTTGCATACAGTTTTGGTAAAATTATTTAGAAATGTAAGTTCTTTAAATAATAGATTGTGAACACCAGTAACGAAAGAATGCAATATACTGATAAACAATTGACTTATAAAAAGCACTGTTAATATACTCATTTTGGGGGAGACTGAGAGATCTGAATGGTGCTTGACAATTGATTATACATTGCTCATCATAGTTCATATATAGTATATTTAGGAAAAAAGTAAATATGTAGGTAGCGCCTATGTAAAATAATTTTCAAGTTATCCGTTGTCGACCAATAAAAACATCAACATAGATGTTAGAGAGCACTGTATTATTTATGAATCTTTTATAGGCCTATATTGTTTCTTTTATTTTATTGGCCCAGTGTCAGCGTCAGAAACAGTGCGCAAGAAACGGCTTGCAAGACCTCAACAATAAACCATTATTTGTAATTACAGCATTTATCACAGCTCATATAGATTACCGTAAAACCACGAATTGAAGCACTGGGCTTCTTTATCTTGCGAACTTTAAATGGACTTCTTTTCGAGATGTCCTTCATTTCGAGATGAGCTTCTTTTCGAGATCTGCTTCATTTCGAGATGGGCTGCTTTTCGAGGCTATTTTTTCAAAGTAAAGAGGGGGCTTCTTTTCAAAATGAGTACTGTAAATTTTGCGAATTTGTACTATAAAACAATAAATACGGCCACTGTAACATCAATCTGTATGATGGAGTGTATTTAACTGACATTAAATCATCTAAACTACTGTATAAACCAAGCTTGTTTTTAAATTCATGTACAGTGCATATACTGTAATATCTCGAAAAGAAGCCTATGCTATCTTAAAAAGAAGCCCATGGGCTTCGTTTCAAGATGGGCTTTTTTAGGGTAATTTTGCAAACTAAAGAGGGGCTTCAATTCGAGGTTGACTTCATCTCGAGGTTAAGCCCACTGGGCTTAAATTCGAGGTGTTACGGTATTTAGTAAACCCACCGAAAACCTAATATGAAAAATAATTCTACAAGTGCTCCGTTGTCAAACAAGAATAAAAACAAATGAGCTACTGGTGATGGATGAGCAGAGCAAAGCACTGGGGCCAAGAGCTATTAGGGGCCCATTCATAAATCGAATGGGCATATTATGTTTGAGAGCTCTGCGTTCTCTATCTTTTTATTTCTATATCTTTATTATTTATAATCAATTTGCATAAAACGTTTCTTAGCATCGTTGAAACCATTCTTATATATTATTGGATGTTCTATAAACGTTCGTTCATGCATGCATCTGTTGACCAGGAAACTGTATGAAATACATACATAGGCTCTAGCCATAATTATACATTAGATTTCTAACTAAAAAATGACTCGGATGACTGGTTAACGTCTATCAAATGTGAAACGGTTATCTTAGCAATTGACTGCGACATGAATATTTAAATTAGGGTGTCATAATCATTGGGGACTTATCTATGTACAACAGTTGATTCTAAGACCTTAAAAAATATGCGACGATTTAGTAAATTCTTATTGTTTCTCATCTGGAAATATTCATGTCTAGACGTTGTGGAAACAAAATGCCCGTAAGTAGGTATTGGTTTACGTGTAATTAAATTTCATATTATTACTACACTTAATGATACGGTCTATTTAGCTTATCCTATTTAGCTTATCCTAGAGAGGACTGCGTAATAAGGGCATAATTCTGAAAAATATCGATGGATATTCTTCTTAGCAGATTTGTGTGTGCACATGATGGTAGTAACTGCTATCTGATTTATACAGAAAGTGGTAAATGGTACTACAAGAATGCGGAAAGTTCTCCAAAGAAAATCGGTATGAAATATAATATTTTGTATTTCCTTGAAGAAAGATTTTGATGATGATGATGATATTCAGCTATAGCTAAGAACTAATACTGAAACTCATATAACAATCATGTGTACTAATATTGCTATCATAATCAAAACCAAAACAAATTATTTACAGAATAGGCCTTATTATAATGTGCAT